GAAAACAGCGCAGCCTGAAAATATGCCGGCGCAGCAGCAGCAACCTCATTGAAGCTTCTGTTTCCACAAATGTCCTTTTGTTGATATGCAGCATGCCCAGACCTTCCTCAGGGCAAACCCGTGTTCAGCACGCATCCGCGCCACTTGGTTGCCCTGCTGTCCACAAAAAGAGTTTCCGCCTCATCGATTTACTTGAGAATCAATTGTGACCTTGCCTCTTCACCTTAATTCTACCAATCTGCGCTGCAACATAAGCCCCGAAAAACAACTCCACTGGAATCGGAACAGAGAGAAATCGCACCCACCCTCTCCTTCACGCTTCGTCTGACCCACCCGCGCGCCCAGCAACGCGCAGTCACGCGCTCGCGGTACTCCCGCGCGCCCACAAGCTCATGCGTGCGCGAGCGTATATGCGCATACACGCACACACGCGCCAACACACTCACCCATGCACACGTGTAAATAGAATCAATGAATTCAACAACATATACCCGCGCACGCGCGCACGCACGCACGCAGGCCCGACCCTGACATTGAGACGCGCAAACACACACACACACACACACACACACACACACACACACACACACACACACACACACACACACACACACACACACACACACACACACACACACACACACACACACACACACACACACACACACACACACACACACACACACACACACACACACACACACACACACACACACACACACCACACACACACACACACACACACACACACACACACACACACACACACACACACACACACACACACACACACACACACACACACACACACACACACACACACACACACACACACACACGCCAGCACACACGCACACACGCGCACACATACACACACACTCACGCGCGCGCACAGACACACCTACACTTACGCCTTATCCGCGCACGCAGGTGGTCAGGCAGCCCCGCGCACAGGCACGCAAATGAACTTACAACCGCGCACACGCACCCTGCAAAAACGGACACGTGTGACACACACACACACGCATGCAAACAAACAAACAAACAAAACCAAAAACAAACACAAACAACAAAAAGCCAAACACACAAACAAATAGACGAACAAACAAACAAACAAAACAAACAAAGAAGCAAACAAGCAGGCAAACAAACAAGCAAACACACACTCACTCGAGTAAAATCCTTCAAGTAATAATCCCACAGGCTCTGGCTGCGCCTGCGCGCCACTCTCCGGCTTAGCAGCTGCGTCATGCACTGGCGAGCAAACTTTGGGACATCCCCAAATCTCAAACGTGAACACGCAATCGTGCACAAACTCTTGTTCTGCTCCCCGGAAGGATGCTCCTCCTTTGCCGGGGCCCCGGCCAGGTGTCTAAAACACCCGTGGGCCAAAAACTGGTTCACGTAAAAATCCTAAGGGCTCGGCCCCGGCCAGATATAAAAATCACCCGTGGGACAGCAACTCATTCATGAGGAAAAAATGATATAGATGATGGGGCGGGAAACGCGCACAGACGATACGTGCCTGAGCATCTGTGCGTCTCCGCTTCAACGGACGCGCTGCCTCAAAAACAGAGGCTGCATAGCCACGTGCCACTGCTTAAGCGCTCGCGCGCCTGCCACGCGTCCACTTCCTCGCGAACAGCGTCTGCCTTGGGCGGACACGTCATCCACGCCAAACAGCCACAGGGGGAAGTACTGTGAAATCAAAAAGTCAGCGCGGGCTCTGAGAGCCAGACGTGTATGCCTCATGCCAGGACAGGCGCACATCGCCGTATCGTCAGCAAGGCGCACCTGTCAAAATCAAGACGTGGGCGTGTTCCAAGAAACAGGACCCGTTTTGGGCAGCTGTAAGCCTCCCCGTGTTGGGACGTTTTCACTGCCAGGTGAGTCATCATCATGGCCAACACTGGGTTGCATTCATGCCCTTGCAAAACGTCGAGCCGTTTTGTGGGTCCACGCGAAATCATGCTTCGCTCAAAAGTCGACAAGTCTAACATCAGGTCAAGGAGTACACGAGAACACGAGTTTTGCTGCGAATCTGGCGGGGGCTGCCAAGAGCGCATGGACAGCGATTCATTCCGGTATGATGAGAGGCTGGCGTTGCAGGCCTGAGAGGGCCAAGATTGTTCCACGTGGGTGTTTCTCAACAATGACAACTTTCCATTCAGCTCCAGATAACACAAGCCATCCAAGCAAAGCAGCCACATCGCAGGCACGGGATCCGGCAAAACTGCCCTTCACCCTATGCAAAAATCACAAGTGGTTTCTTGTAAAGCCTGAGTGAACAAGTAAGTATTCCCCCTGAAAAACAGGCTTTCCAAAATACAGCCAGGTGCCCGTCGGCTGAATTCCCCCTCCGAAACGTAAACTAAAACAACGCATAGCACCAACACAGCCCCGAAAACTGGAAATCTTGCTTAAGGGTCTGAAGGTGGCAGGCGGGGCGGTATCCCATAAAATGGCTCAATCAAGTCAAGTACTGATTGAAGCTGAATCAACTCAGGCCCTGTGAGCTAGTCCTGATATGGAAAAATACAACTGTGACCCTTTCCACTCGCATGCCCACCCTCACATTGCCGTTCCAATTGATGTCATTGAGAGATGGGTCTTGCAGCAATGCTTGGAAACTGCCTGCATCACACAGTTGCCATGGATCTCATCCAGCTCAATTAACCGCTTCAGCAAGGGCAAAATAGCAATCAGTCCTTTTGGGTTGCACCATGGTCTTCAGAAAAGGACATGGCCAAGACCAGTCACCCTTTTAACAAGGGCCACTGCCCCTTCTAGCAATTTGGTGCTTGCATGCTTTGAGCCAAGGTTGCATGCCACAAACAAACAAATGTGAAAAAAAACAGCACCTTTCAAAACAATAGAAACTACAGCGCCCAAACCAATAGAAACTATGCAATGTCAAATCAATAAAGTCTTAAAATTCAGCTTCAAAAAAGTTTTGATTTAATCAATAGAAGCGGATGAAAACAATATCAATAAAAACATACTAGTTTCTATTGATTAGAATCAATAGCCGATGCCCAGGGAAAGGAAGTACACTTGGCAGCTCTGGCTCGAAAGTCGCAACTTTCAGTACAAGTGTAGAAAAGGAAGAATGCTTTGGCAGCTCCGGCTCGATGTCGAGTGTCGCAGCTTTCCAATACAAGTCTAGCAAAGTAAGCACACGTGGCAACTCTGGTTCGAATGTTGCAGCTTTTCAGTACAAGTGCAGTGAAGGAAGCACACTCAGCTGCTCATTTCCTTACATAAACAAATACTCGGGGGTATCGTTTTTTCTTGTAACCCTATCGTTTTGCAGTCTGTTGGCGCTCTACTGCACATGTTGGTGTGTCATGTCCAGACCTTTACATATTTGTCTTTTAGAGGTGTTGCTGGGCGCTCATATGTTCAATAGCCTTCAAGGAAAACACACAAAGAACACCACCATTTTAGGGGCTCCAGGAGAAGAAAACACACAGCTAGAGAGCAGGCAACGCACTTGCTCGATTTGGCCCGGACCCGTGCGGCTGTTGAGCTCTGGCGACCATCCAGAAACTTGTCCACAAGGCGAGCTGGAAGATATGACTTCCACTTCTCCATCCTCGCTTTCCCTTCCGGAACATTCTGCAGTTTTACCTGGACCATCAAACTACCCGACTAAAAATGGGTTGAATAAAAAGATGTGTGGTGATGTTCCATTCTTCTTGCATAGTTTGAGAATCGCTCCGGTACTTATTTTCACCTAATTATCTTACTTCCTGACTGGTCGAAACAAGTCCAAACTTCCTACCACTCCAATGGTCCAATCCCAAAAAGTTTCAAGCCCACGAGCTCGGGGAGCATCTTTTGCCCTGAAACGGGGAAACGTCACCCGCAAGCTCCACTCCCCTCATTTCCCAAACAAATCGCAGGGGCACTCTCAGGCTGCGACTGCTCGGCCTCCACGATATTGGAAAGGAGGCTGTGAATGTCCCGAACCATCACCTCCTGCCAACTGGGTGGGTCCTATTTTCGTGGATTCGGACTGACCCAAGTATGCCTGACCTCAATAGTCCGACGTTCACGTTTAGATGGCCTCATTCAAACGGGTCAGCTCTAAGCTTCATCAACTCAAGCCGTTCTGCAGGATTCCGTGTCCCCTTGCAACATTGGCTTACCCAAAAGACACGCAATCAAGATTGTCTCAACAGGTGGTGTACAATCCAGACCAGCTCAGTGGATCTGCAAAAGTCAGCACAATTCAGAGCTCGCCGTGCGGTTTTTTGGACGCATCAGCCCTACAAAGCGGTCTACCATGTTCCCACAGGCTCCTTGGCTGCATGAAGTCTTTGGGAAGCTTTTCTCAGACCACTTGCCACTCTCATTGTCAACCCCCCTGTGCGATAGCTTTTACATGAGTCTTCCTCACAGCAACCATCTGACCAATCCAACTGGTCGCCTCCTTCATGAGGCCGAAAAACAACTCGGCGCGTCTTGCTTCGAGGGTTCCTAGGTTTGCCGTGCTTCAGGAGCCGCAAAGGAACACCACCATGTTTGTGTCCGAATCCTAAAAAAACACCGCAGATTCCCCCCCCCCTCCCCCGCTTAGCATTTACACACTTCCTCCCACCTTAAGGGGGTGGAAAGGTCCCACAATTGTTGTTTGTCTTTCTCGTAATAAGGGCAAACGGGTTGTTCTCAGATCCCCTGCTAAAAGTTTAACTTTTAATGAGTTCATTGGACCCCCCCACGAAACCAACTAAAAACCCAAAAACCTGAGGGGACGGCTGGGAACGGCCAAGGAAAAGGGGCCAACCCCTCGGTCCAAAACCTGACCCAGAGGGTGCAAGTACCTTGTAAGGAGGTACTGAACGACCCCTTTTTACCCCCCCAAGAGCCATCCTCATGAGGTACTTGGACCCGGGTGAAATGAGATTTGGATCCCAAGCGACGGGGACCGTGACCGTTGCACTCCCCGCAATCAACCGCCGAGAGCAGCGAGCAGCGCGGTCGGCTTCTTTTTTCCCGGTCGATCTAAGTCGCCTTGCTGCTCCGCACCGCCTGCGGGTTCAGATCTGGTTCAAACTGGAAGTGATTTCTTTTTCTAGGGACCTTCCAGACCTCCAAGTGGGAGGTAAAGGCTCTCAAAGTTTGTTCTTTTTGCAAGGGCTGGTTTCCTTTCGGTTTCCCTTCAAATACTAACCAAAAGGGAGTTTCTCCACCATTTTGACAAACACTCAAATGCTTGTCGCGACTTTCTCTAGCAGTCTATTGGGCTTGGGACTTGTTCCACTCTCCCAGAGTGTCCTTGGTACTCTTTGCTGGTTGATTGGGGTTGCTGGGGTCGTATCCCACGGTCAAATGACTCGAAGGCGCCCAAGTTGGCCGGGTCCTTGGAACGCTTGAGGCCATCGGGCGTGGAAAGCTGAATGAACGGAAGCACCGCAAACAGGAAACCCCCTTGGCTGTAGAACAACCAGACTACTGAAACGCTTCGAAAGTCCGACAAAGGGCAACTTATCATGGAGTGTTTATCCTGCAGAGCTCGCCATACCGGCAGACCCATCAACTAGGCAGAGCTCAATCAGGTCTCCGTCCTTCTGATTTCCCTTCAATCCAAGCACGCGACCCCAAGGCAAATGGGAGACCTTCTGACCCTTGAAAAACATGGGGTGGCCCCTTTCTCTTGAGTAATGCTAACCCCATATTAATCAGTTAACCCCAGTTTATTACCAGTAATTGGGAATTGGGTGTTCCCCTCCAAATGATTCCCAACGAAGAAAAACACCCCCTAGCAATAAACTTGGTTGGTTGATTAATATGGCTGTGGGTCAAAACCCTGTACCCCTGGCGAACACCAAAATAGGTGGCAAATGGATGTTCATCCACCCCAAAATGGAGCCATAGGTTTTGCCCCATGGCCATACGGGGTCCACAACTTCGCCCTATGTCTACGGCTCAGGCGACCGGCGAAACTTTCGATCCGCCAGCTCCTGCAGCGCGGCCCACAGCTCCCGGCGCCCCAGCAGCGCGGAGACGGCGATGACCAGCGCCGCCAGCAGCACGGCGCCGCTGACGCGCCAGACGTCCACCACGCTGGGCACCAGCCAGGCGGACAAACCTCGGCGAAGCAGAAGGCCGAAGGTCCGGATGAAACGCACCGCGCAGGGGACGAATGGCTGGCAAAAACGGACCTGGACCCTTGAACCATCCGTAAGAAAGGGAGTTTTCACAGAACTTCGGGCCTACTGCCGATTTTCAAGGGAATTTTGAGGGTCCGGGTACCAAAACGGCACCTTGGTACTGGAACCAAAGACTTGGAAAGTCCAGCTCAGCCATACCCATGTATCTCTTGGCCTGCTGGGGAAATGACACGGAAACTTGGCCAGGGGTACGCAGAACATGAATCAATTCTGTTCTAACTGTGATTTTCCTCCATTTGCTGATGTTTGCTTGAACACCGGCAGAAAATAGAGAGAGATCTTAGTCTACGCTAGGTAAAATGTTCTGGAGACACCAGATTTGGCTCTTTATCTGGGGGGCAGTTCCTTTTTGGAGCTTCGTGCCGTGCGTTTCAAAGGGCGGTTCACCTTGTTATTAGGGGTTATGCCCCAAGTGGCTAACCACCAAGTACCAAAAGGAGCCCTGGATTTTGAACCCCGATATGAATGACACAAAAGCTTCCGGCTCCAAGGCTCCCAGAAACCGCGCAATCCGCCCAGTTTTGCCCATGCTAAACGTCTAAGGAATGTGCGGACCACCAACAAAAACATGTGTTTATGTTTGGAAGTTGCCCCGCAGCTGCTATTTCCCAAGCTGATGTCGAAGCTTTCGCAGGCGACTTGTGCTTGCTCAGTTGGGTTCTGGGTATGCGCCAGCAAATGGATCGGTGTTAAGGATCCGTTGAGGATTGTCCGATCATATATTCATTCATCTGAGTCACAATCCAAACCCGGTAGTAAGATGGTCTACCCAGAACCATGTAAGGAATTAAGAAGGCGGCCGCAACTATTTCTGGCTGGGACTGCCCCTTACTAACCTTCATCTACCCGAGCTTTGATTGTGGCTCATCTGTCATTGCATAGGTCCTTACTTGGGAGCCCTAACTGCAGGCTGAGAAAAACACCGACTCGCAAGCCAAAGACCCACGCCATCCAACTTGTCCAGGTGTGCGCAAGGGCCAAAGTATGGCCAAAGTCTGACGTCTCTTTGAATCTTTGGGCTTGTGTTTGTTGAGGGTTGGTTTATAAAGGAGCCCAACGAAAAACAACATGGGTGGGGATCCTGGTCTGCCCCTATCTTGACACATAGGTTCGCCTCCAGGGAACCACAACCTGGCAACGGTTTCCGTTTGGTTTCCAGTTAAAACCAACCAAAGGTTAAGACCCCCAAAGACACACCCATACGTGGTCAGGCCTCAAAACCCCGCGGACCATGCATTTCCATGGGGCGGGAACACGTCAAACCTACAATAAAAACAAACAAAAACATGTGGTATCCCCAACAGCCCCAGAAACTGGAACTTTGCAACCCTCCCTTTTGAACCCTCCCTTTTGAACCCTCCCTGAAGCCTGCCCCAAACCACCAACCGCATCGCCTCTCTGGGCCTATCGACCCCAAAAGCGCCTATCGACAGTTCAAGCAGCGGCTGCCGAGGGCCAAGAGCCCCAGAAGTTGGCACACCTGGTTTGTGAGCGAGCAATGGCTGTCCCTCGATGAATAGTTCTCACCTGTTTGGATTCCAACCCTCGGTAGCGGAAACAAACTTGGCTTATGACATGAGGCTACTACAAAAATGAGCGGAGAACCGCAGGCAGCGCCCAAGCAATGATATCTGACATGGGAGAATTCAAAAAAGACAATTCCTAAGGGCAAATCCCAATTGGGAAACTCCAATGAGAAAATCCACGAGAAACTTCCAATGGAACGATTCCAATGAAAGAATTCCAATGGGAGAATCCAAAGGGAAAACTGCAATGGGGGAGTTCCCGTGGGAGAAATGGGACAGGTCCAAAGAGAGAATTCTATAGGGACAATTCCAAAGGGAAACTCCCAATGGCAAGTTTCCACAGGGAAAATTCCAAAGAGAAAATTCGCATGAAAAAACTTCCAAAGGGACACTTCCAAAGGCACAATTCCAAGGAGGAATTTCAAAGCGAACATTTGGCTCAAGTCCAAGAGGACAATTCCTATGGGAAAACCCCATAGGAGAATTCCAATGCGAGAATTTGAATGGGAGAAATCCAAAGAGATAATTCCAATGAGACAATTCAATGGGATAATTCCAAGGAACAAATCCAATGGGAGAATTCCCATGGGTGACATTGAAAAACTCCATGGGATAATTGTCAAGGGAGAAACGCGAACATTCCAAAGAGAAAATTGCAATGGGACAATTTCAACGTGAGGGAAATTTCCGAAGGGAAAATATCAGACGGAAAAGTCCAGTAGAAACTCGAATGACAATTCCAATGGGACAATTCGATTGGGACAATTCCAACGGGACAACTCCAAAGGAACAAATCTTAAGGGAGAATTCCAAAGGGAACATTCGAATGGAAAAATCACCCAAAAAGAAGTCCAATAGGAAATTCCAATGGAAGAGTGCCAATAGAAAATTCCAGAAAACCGAAAAGGGCAAAATCCAAAGCTAACCGTTTTAATTCCAGTGGGATAATTTCAACGGGACAATTCCAACGGCAAAAGGTAAACTTCTTCCAATGGGAGAATTCCAACGGCATAATTCCAATAAGAAAATATAAAAAGGGAAGCTACCAACGGGAAATGTTCAAAGGGACGCATATGAGAAAGCAGGCCTGTACTGTCGGCGGCCTGAGCCGAAGGCGTTAAACTACCCAAAGGAGGCCCTACCATTAACAGAAGCTCTTTTCGGTGTTCCCATGCCACGCAAAACTGGGCTGTTCTCAGATCCCCAAAAGTGAACAACTTGTGAATTAAATGGAAACCCAACCAGTCCACCAACTAACAACCTAAAACCAGGGATGGCTGGGAAGCGCCAAGGATTCAGGACCTCTGAGTAACTCATGCACTTCGGCAAAGAAACGGAAGCCTGTCTCAAAGAAGTATCTAAGATACTGCCATGGCCAGCTTTTTCTAGTCACGCCTCGGTTGCTTTCTGCTCCCCTGCTAAGAGCTTAACTTTTGGTGGTTTGATGGAAAACCCGTTAGTTGGCAACAGGTTAAAGTCCTAACATCCAAGCACCAAAGACGTGTGATTTCCTCCAAGAAAGGAGGCTCCCAAAAAAAGACAAAACTCGCAGGCAGGGGGCTGGCGCCAACCGCAGCTCTGACCAGCTCGGCCTGGGGAAATGCAGAAAAAAACCGATGGTCTGCCAGGCCAATTTTGGTCCGCCAAAAAGGGTCTGCCTGAAAATGCCCTCGGAAAGCAGAACAGAAGGCAAAGGAGTGTTTGATATGTGTATTTAAATAAATGAAAGTATAGATTCAAGGCACTTCATGTATATATTCATTCCATGAGCCAAATGCTGGTATCTATGATCCATTATGGAGTATGAAAACTCACTGCAAAACCCAAAGACCAAATTGCCATGGGCCCAACTAGAAGACAGAAAAGTGGCCTCAAGGAGTATTCCCAGTTGTTCAACTTTGCGGAACCCTGAGGGAACGTGGAGAGCCGCCCCACGCCCATTGAGTTGGGGAGCAAAGACAACAGGGTTGCCACTGTTTTCTAGACATGTTCGGGCCCTAAGGTTCATGTTTGCAATGGTCCAATACAAGAACCCAAGTGAAACCATCGGGATCCGGCTATTTGCAAACTGACCTGGGACACAATGCGATTGGCTCCTCGCATAAATTTAGACCGCCAGCACAATTGGTGCGCTGGCAGTGATGCGGGTGCTGCAACTAGGATGCCAACAGTGCCCACACGGAGCAGGGTCACGCCAAAGTCAGGTCACGCCAAAGTCAGGTCACGCCAAAAATACAAGGCGAACCTTTTGGCATCTTGAGTAAAAAAAATGGGTACCAACACGAGAAAGAAAGCCAAAGGACAGATCCGGTCGATTCGCTTTGGGCAAGTGGCGTCAGGGAAGGCACCTGAGAGATGGTCTAAACCCGGAGAAATGATGATCAACTCGCTCGTCTTTCGCGGGGCGATTCTTCGCGGACAACCGGCGATGGCGGCCTAGAAAGCAACGCATTGAACATGAAATTATTTCAATCAAGATGCAGGGGCTTCTAGAATGTCGCTCACATGCACATGCAACTTTCAAAAAAAAGAACGCAGCTTTCGCTTCTGGCGCAACAGCTAAAACGGCGAGCTTTTGTTCGAGTAAACCGATGGGAGATTCGAGCTGAGGCTTTTGCCAACTTTTGGGCGACTCGTCCGTTTTGAGGTTGGCACGAGTGCCAAGTGTAACTCTTGGGCGTTTGTTTTTTGAATGGGGCCACAACAAATTGTGATTTTCCTTTTGGTTTTATTCCAAACCACCAAACGGGCACCTGCACCCTCAACCTACCCATAAGAATAGGTTCTTGCCCCAAACGGCGATGTCTCTTTTTATCGGCAGTGTGAGGGTCCAGGTCAAAAACAAACGCCCAACAAATGTTTTGGTGTTCCTTGAAAGCCACCACAAAACGGGTGTTCAAAAACATGCCAGCATAGACTCCAGATAGCACGAGAGCGGTGTCAGCCAACGAACTTCAGACGCCATTCCAATGCAGCGACGCACGGACAACATATTTCTCACAACAGAGTGCTCCGGCAGTTCGCTTGCCAAAGCCTGCGTAGACAACACTTCCAATATTGGCACTGGCATGCCGGATTTGCTTAACGCGCCGCCTCTCAGAGCCCATGTTTTCGTGGATTCGCTCAACGTGGTGGGCAGAGCGGCCAACAATATTCTCACAACAGCTGGAGCGCTCCGGCAATTCGCCTGCCAAAATATGCACAGATGATGTCGCAGCAGCAACAACACCTTGCAACAGCACCCTGCGCAACTCTGAGTCTCGGCCCACAGCAGCGCCCTGCAGCAATCTCACCCACCCCTCCTTTACTTAAACTAAACGCAGCAGCGCCCTGCAGCACCCTGCGCAATTCTGAGTCTCGGCCTGCAGCAGCACCCTTCAGCACCCTTGCAACAGCACCTGGCCGGAATTCTGAGTATCACCCACCCCTCCTTTACTTGAAGTTAGAACCCCTATAGATTTCAGCTATCTGGGGAAACCAAGAAGACATTGTTTCTTTGTTTGTTCCTTGAAAACCACCACAAAAACGGGCAGTCGCAAAAAAACAAAAAAAACGAGACCCGGCGCTGGTTCCGGTGGGCTCGCCTCGCCTCAGCTGCCTCGCCGCAAAGACGAGGCCCAGCAGCGAGCGCAGGCACATGGCGCTGGCGTTTGCTGCCACCAGCGCCACCGGGCCCCAGGCCTCGAAAAGACGCGGCGAAGCGGTGGGTCGGTTGGTCGGTCAAAGGTTCGCGTTTTCGCGGATCTGAACGCACAAGTTCGCCACTTGTCGCGGATCTGACGGGCAGTTTTGAGTCCTCGCTTCCAAGGGGTCAGGGCCTTCAGAAATGATCAGGGAAGTTTCTTTTTTTGGCCGCCTTTGGTGGACCCCCTCGTAGTGAAGGAATTCCTTGAGGGGGTCGCCCATTTTCTCGCAAAAGGTGGCAAAAAGAACCCCCTGGAAATGATGGGCCACATGGGGCACTTTGGTGAGAAAAAACACCGGACAGCAAGCGGTAGGTTTGAGGAAACACACACCAAGGGGGAAAGGGCGCATCCTGGACAAAACACAAATTCTGAAGCAGAATCTCACAAGTGGCTGGAGCATCCCCTGCGTTTGGCCCCTTACTCTCCTGCAAATGGACACGCAACCAGAAGACAATCCTTGTGTACAGGAATCTCTCCTTTTGGGAGACCCCTTTTGGAGTATGTACGGTTTCTCGCAAGCAGTGATCTAAAACACCCGCCAGCTACCTTCAGGGCCAAGCAATAATGCACATATCGACATCGGGTCACAGGCATCACCCTGCTCCCCTGGGGCTGGTTCGGTTGCTTGTCTTCTGGAAGTATCCAGGCCCTGGAAAAGCAAAGCCAGCCTAAAGACCCTGATCGAGGTGCACAGGACACTTCCCCATTCTGTCCAGGGATCCTTCTTTTCAAAAAACCAGCAGAATCCAAGGGGGAAACAGCTGGTTTTTGAAAAGAACGATGGTTGAAAAGAATGGGGAATCAACCCCTAGATCCATGCCTGGTTTTTAACATTTTGAGCGCCGTGAGGGTCTCATGGAGACCTGACGCACATGTGAAGCCTTTGTTAGACCTAGACCATAGGTTTGGCTCGTCAACTTCCCTTTTGGTTTCCATTAAACAAAACACAAACAATGTGGAACCCTCCAAAAAGGACACACCGATACATGAAGAAACACATACAAATATGTGCAGTTTCTTGAGGTCACCTTGCGTGGAATGTCCTTGGCACAGGACCTCGCAGTGGAAGTACATACCCCCGGTTCATACCCCTATGTTCCCTCACATACTCCTTTTGGCGAGAGGGGTATGAATACAGGCAAGCCTTTTGGGCCGAGCGGTACGTAAAAGGGGCAAACTTGAGCAAGTACATGTTTTCGGTTGTCTTCCCTGTTGGGAGAGGGCTATAGATCAACAGCAAGCCGTTGGGGTCCTCTATCGGCGTCAAAGGGGGTACAAAAACCACGCCATGAAACGCCGAAGCCTTCGCGCCGCAAAAAAAACACAAAAACCCAAGCCCAGGCCCAGCGGAAGCCCCCGGAGGGAAAAAAAAAGAGAAACAAAAACCAAAAAAAAAAAACGAAAAACCGCCTGGCCAGCCCAGGAGACAAGGACCAGCACCAGGGAGATCCCCAGGTGCCACAGGTTGCAGTATCTCACCCAAGAGGGCGAGCATTGGGCGTACATGAAGGCCTCCTGCAGATGATTGTTTTCAAAGGAGCCGTTCCGGCGAGGTTCGGTGCGCAGATCGTTCGGGACAGGAATGGACAGCGCAATTAAACCGCTACCAGGAGCCTCAAAAACCGATGAAAATGTCATACCTACAAAAAACACGATGTTTTTTGGGAAAACACGATGTTTTCGGGAAACACCGCATTTTCGATTTCAAGCAGTTTCCCATACATTCCTTCAACTCGTCATCCGTTCTCAAAAGATCTCAAAAGCATCATCTCAACCTCAGAATCTCCCATCGCCCTCCCCTTTGCACTCGCAACGAAATCAGCTTCGCATTCGCCACTCGTCTTTCGCAACTCCAACCTGAAAGAAGGAGGCCGGGGACCCAAATAGTCAAAAGTACCACGGTTTTATGACACTTGTCAAGCAGCAGTGCCATGATGAGGGCGTGCTGGCTTCGAACAGCGCAAGCTCAAGCAAAGACCGTGCCTTTGCTCACGACTTCGTTGTTTTCCAGCAACATTCTCGAATTAGCGCATTCGTGGTTGAACCCGAAAAACCCATAGAATTTCCACGCTTTGCCACGCTTTACTACGGGTTCTCCACGGTTTAGCTACGGGTTAGAAAACACAATGTTTTCCAAAAACACGATGTTTTCGGTTGGGGCTGCGGGCTTTCTACGGGTTTCTACGGGTTTTCTATGGGTTTCTACGGGTTTTCTGCGGGTTTCTGCGGTTAGCCGCCAGGATCCCGCCCCATTTGCTAAAAAAAACTCAAAATTGATAAAAAACAATCTCAAAAGTGTCACCTGGTCTTGTTTTGCACCAAAAGGAGCTTTCGGATTCCAGCACCCCCTTCAAACTGGTTCGGTATGACCTGGCGCCAGTCTTCAGGTGCCTGTTGCTGTGAAAGGTACTTCAAGACTGAAGCCAGCTGCACACCCTGGCTGTCAGGCTCATCAATGTGGTCCTTAGAATTTGAAGCATACTCAGTATAGAGCGTTGCCTTCAGTTGAAATCTTAATGGGTGATGTCTGTGTGAATCCACTCCCGACCCTTGCCTTTGACCCTTTGCTCCAAATGAGTGTTTGGCCTCAGAAGCCCATTTTTAAGGGGTTTTATCAAAAACACAATGTTTTTCCTGAAAACACAATGTTTTCAGAAAATCGAGAAAAAACACGATGTTTTAGTCAGGGTACGACATTTTTACAGGTTCTTGAAGCCCTAGGTAGTGAACAATTTACCTCATGATGACTATTAGCAACTACTGCTAAAGATACTAGTCCTTCAATGAAAAGGGGGCCGAGAAATTGGTTTCCTGGGAAGTGGAATGCAGGTCAGTTGGATGGTCAAATCATGACTGGCTGGTTGTTTAAAGTTTAGCCTCCAGAAGATGCAGTGCAATGATGTGTGTGTGTGTGTAAGAAGATCGGCAGGTGAAGCTCCTCCAAGAACACCAAGATGCAAACACATGCCAAAAAAAAACACAGAAGACGTGAACTAGGTTTTGTGGGACGCCTCTGTTTATGCATGGGAGTGTCTTCCACTCCCCTCCACTTGTCCCGAACCCAGATTTGAGCTTGGGCAAAAAGACACCCAAGTTGTTGCAAGCCAAATGCCGCCACCTTGACTAACGAGTGACTAATGTCTAAACCACTTGTGGCCAGTAATGCCCTGGACCGATCAGAATATGGAGTGAGGTGATAAACAAAAGCCACTTTTGCTCAAAGAACCACCTGTTGGCTTCACTTTAAAGTGAACCAGGGCCTGGTTGATGCAACCCCCCCAACTGGCGGAAATGGCCTCTCATGAAAATGAGATCCCATGTTTTCAAGCACAGAAACCCCCAAACTGGAACCAGATTGGGTCTCCTTATGGAATTTGCTGAAAAATCCTTCTAACTGTTCGTTTGGATTTGTGGGTTTGGCGGTTCGGGGTTCTCTTTTACCCACAAGAACTGGGGGTCGAATCCCCAAATCCCCAATCCAAGCCACCAGCGGCCTGCAAAAAAGGATTCCTCAAAGCCAAGCCACGTCGCTAATGGTTTTCACTACTCAAGTGGTCCCAAGTTCAAATGCCGGGAACTCGCCCCAAAAGTCCAGCCCTGGCAACCGCTTTTGGATTAGGCTCCAGGACGCCGTTCAGGGCGGCGAAGAAGAGAAAAACGCCTCAAGGCGCTTCTCTCAAAATCGCAGACCGGATCCCAAGTAGCTTTTCGTGGAAAAAAAACAAGGCGCTACGTTGTTGGTGGTTCATGTGAAAGGGATACCCCCTCCTCCGGCCCTCCAAGGAAAAACAAAAAGGACGAACCAGCTGGAGGTCTAGAACAAGGAAGAAATTTGTTCCCGTTTGGTTGGCACTCAAAGAGAAACCAAGAGGAACGGAGGCCAGGATTTTGGAAAACACCCAAACCCGAAACGCGCCTGTTTCTTTATTCGTCAAGGCACCGGGTGCAATGCCCTCAACAAGGCCGGGGGCACCCTTTATGAGGCCTACCCGTACTCAAACGTTTTGATGGCACCCTTCCTTCTGGTGGTCAGACACAACATTTTGCTTAGTTGCTGATATCAAGTACAGGGGTTGTCTCGTTCCATATATGACTGCCCGGATGTGACAGGTGCTTGATATGGTCATCAGCTTCTCGACCTACCAAAGCAAGATTTGCATTGCGCCCCCCTTTTCTTGTTGATCAGGCCCGTCTCAGCAATTTGATCGAGGCACCCTTTTGTTTCACCGACCAAAACAATATTTGTAGGAGACGGACAAGCTGCAATTCACTTGGGGCATGTTTTTTTTTTGGTTGTTGTTTTTTTTGGCGACGTGATATGTCCACATCTCTCTAACAAGGGGTGCGTCCTGCAATTTCGTTGGTCCATCTCAAATTGCTGCCTGTCAAGCAAACTCCAATCTGAAAACACGGAGACTTGCAAAGTGGTGAGTTCAAAAAGAACTTCTTCCAGGTACTCGGTTTACCTCTTGGCTTCTGAACAAAGCACGTTGTAACAAAAGGCTCCCGAATCAGAGACAAACCCACTACGGAGGCGTCGTTAAACCAAAGCACGAATGAATCTCCGGAATGCAACATGCGCTTCAAATTACAAGAAAGGGCCCAACTCTACACTAAAAGGAGAAAACAACAAATAGGGGACCCAAACGCTGGACTCAGCCGATGTCTTGGTGGTGTGGTTTGGAGAGGGCGACCATCCTATTCAACGGGATGGGGGTTCAACTCCGCATCCTGGGTGTCTCGTTGGACAAATAGATGGGACAAAAGGAAGCTGAAACCAGCACCATCTAGTAGCAAGCAAACATACCCAAACCTCCAAACCAACCCAAACCAATCCAAACCAACCCTTAAACCAATCCAAACCAATCCTTAAACCAATCCAAACCAATCCTTAAACCAATCCAAACCAATCCTTCAACCAATCCAAACCAATCCTTCAACCAATCCAAACCAACCCTTAAACCAAACCAAAGCAACCCAAACCAATCCAACCCAATCCAAAGCAATCCAAACCAATCCAAACCAAACAAACACCAATCCAAACACCAACCCAAACACCAATCCCTACCAATCCCTACCAATGGAACCCCAAGCCAAGCCAATCTAATCCAACCCCACCTAGACTCCCCTCCCATCCAAGGCGCAGTAGGCCGCCAGCACTTGCGGCGCCTCGGACGCCGCCCAGTCTGGGCCGTACAACAGCCGCACCGCGATCGGCGAGAAGCTGGGGCCGAAGCAAAGGCCCAACCAACCGATGCCTCCTGGGGTGGGGGGGGGGGGTGGGCGTGGGGGGAGGGGGGGTTGGGCCTGGCAGCTGAAGATCCGGAGACAAAACAAAGCTGCCTGGATTGCCAGTGGCGATCGCTTTCTTCCATGAACTTTATCCCAAAAACCCCAAAACCAGTGACTGAAAAAAGCAGCAACTTGGCTATCTAGGTGAAGGTGTTTTGTTTGAAACAATTGGGAATCGTTTTGTGTTGCTTGGATGGCAAGGGGAAACCAAAAGGAAGCCGACCATTTTCAGGCATCGGATTCTATTTTGACCGTTGGGCGTCGTTTTTGGAAAATAGATGGCCCTGGTAGATGATTGAGCCACCAGGTACACCAGGGCCCTCTATTTTTCCAACCAAACCGACCAAAAAGGACACCTATGATTTTGACAAAAACCCAACATAGCATGGGCTCAAGAAATCGGCAGGGCTCCCCTTATTCCGAAGGAAACTCGCTGGGCCCTTTTAGGCGAGCTTTAGATTGGGCCAAACGGGTTGAACAAGGAACGGCCTTGTCTCATTTGGGACCAGCCTGGTCAAACAACCAAAAGTGTTTCGAACACATTGTGGATCCTCTGAAAGGTATGGACAAAGGGAAACGTTTAAATCCGTGCCGACGTAAGCTCATGGTTTAAAACCAGGTTGGCCGAGCCCGCCCGTTGACTTCTGGTTCTATACTAAAGGTTCTGCGTTGCTCGCCCCCCTGAGGTGAAAAAAGGTCATTGGACTTTAGGTTTCATGGAACAGCCAAATGTCCAAAAAGTCTGACCAGCCATGTAGGCTTCACCATGTCCGGACAAAACCCCGAGATTACGCCCAATGGCCCTTGTGGGGGTTCTGGTTTCTGCTCAATTGGCGTCCCTGTGTTGAGCATCATTTGACATGCTGATCCATGTCCACCAACCATTTCGGAGAGAGAGCGTCCCCGTTGCAATCCACATCCAACAGGGATCACTGGATTTCACCTTCAACAGTTGCCTTCTACTGGTGGGTTCGTTTGAAGTTAGACTTTTGGAGGTCCAAAAAAGAAACTGAGGAACCCCTGTCCAATTGAGAAATGACAAGACATGAAATACACCCGGACAAACCTGTTTCTTGGGTTCTATGACTTTCAGGTGCGTAACCTCAGAAAACCGGTGCTGTTTCTTTGCCTGCCACTTTCACACGAAAAATCAATCAGACCAACAAATGACAACAAACGTGCAAAAGAACAGTCAACTTGTCGTGGAGAACTAGATGGAAACCGAACTAACCCACTGAGGAACTGGGGAACCGCTGCTCAAGGATACCCTTTGAGGAAAGCCAGCAGCTGCAGGTCAAACGGAAGCACTTGGATGGCCACAGAAGCAAAAGCAAACCATCAACACATGGGCCTTTCTCAGAATTTGTGGCTTTTGGAGGACCACTTTGCTTGGCCTCCCATTATCTTACCGAGTTTAAGAATCTAAGTTGGGGACCATCTTCCCTTTGAGACACCCGAAAGCCGCCTATTTGCTCTTTGAGACACACGAAAACCGCTTTCCATGTGGTTAAGACCCCTGTTGTGTTCTTCTTAAACAAAAAAAGGTAGTGACAAATTCTTTTTAAAATCAACATTTTTATTTTTATTTTTTTTAATATACTCTTAAGCAACTGGAAGCCGCAAAAACAAAAAAGCCGCGGGTCCTTGGAGTAGCAACAAGCCCCGCAGCATCGCCAGCTGAAAGGACCGGCTCCGCTCCTCCGCGGAGAAGACGCTGTAGGCGATCTCCTCACCGCGGTTTGATTCGACGCCCGGGGTCGGGGCATCCCCCGGATGTTGGCAGACAGGTGTCTCAATTTTATACGGTTGCACCTGGTGGCTGTCCTCTTGGTTTCCTTTAAACTAAAACGATTTTTAGGGGTACCCTCGAACAAAAAAGACACGGCAGAAAAGGGGGGTGTCTCAACTTGAAGGTTGAGCCTGGTGGTTTTCCTCTTGGTTTGAAAAAAAGGGGTATCTGAAAAAACAAATGAGACAGACCAAAACAAAAACTGGGCCGTTTTTCTTTGAAGGGCCCACAGCAACTGATTTCCTCATACTCGACTGCAACATCATGTTTCAAGCATTAAACAAACCCTCCAGAAAAGAGGTAATAGTCAACTGCAACTTGATGTGGGGAAGGTGAATAGGCCGATTGCAGCAAATTCCTTGGGTGCCGTGGACCTAAAATGGGTGTGGTTGCCAAGCATAGGCAAACCCCAAAATGGGTTGCACGTTCGGGCAGTGGACACAAGTTGACTACAACCTGCGGTCCATATCCTGGATCCTGGTGACAAACTTTTGACCCACTGCCGTACTGGGTCCTCCAGTAGAGAGGTTAGAACCGAGGTACCCTGTTTTCTGTAGTCTATTTCAGAACGGGAACCCTCCCCCCAAAATGGGTAAAAAAACACTACTGGGGGACCTACCTATACTTTCCACCCCCAAATCCGCACATCCATCGCCAAATCCATCGCCTCTGTGGGCGCAAAAAGGAGGCGCAGCACGATGGAGCCCAGGTTCGACACCAAGCCTCGGCCGGCGGAAACAAGGACCTATCGATGCTCCGAGCTCGGATGGACCCTTGTTTTCCTCGGGCGAAACTTTTTTTGGACGGGAGGAAGAGATCTCATCTTCCGTAACAGGTGGGTATGGGTCGAAACTAAACCACCTGGGGACCGCAGGTTTTAGTCCATGTTTCCGTGAACCAGGGTTCCATTTTGGGTACCAGTTTTTGACCCACAGCCAGGTGAGATCTGCGGAGATGTTTCCCTATTCCACACCTGACTTGCCGGGAGAAAGAATAATTTGTCCAAGAGGTTGAGAGGCCAAACGGTTTTGCTTTTCCTGTGCCATGGCGTGACAGCAACTAGAGGCCTTCGGGGTCCGAGTTTCTGACTTGGCGCGGGCTGCGGTTTCCTTTTCGCTTCCCTTCAGAGCAACCCCACCAAGCGACACTCAAAAACAGATCTAGACACATCGTTTCCTTTTAGATTCCCTTGAACACCACCCTATCCAGGGGTACCAACTCCGAGACATCTCATCCGATCCAACAAAAAATAACAACGTTTCCTCTGGCTTGCTTCCCCTTAAATCAACCCTATCCAGGATTAACTCGTACCAACTCCCTCTAGGTCTCCGTCCCCCCACGAATTTTGCCCAGAAGCCGAAGACCCCCCACTGCCGCTCCTCGAAGAGTGCCAACAAGAGCATCTTCTCCCCCTCCGTGAGGCACAGCTTCAGAATCACCATGCCACCGAACTCCACCAGCAGCCTGAGACAAGACCCCGAGCAGCCCGCGAGCGGTCTTTCCGCAGCTTAGGTCCAACCCCAGCGGACGCTTGGGGAGAACATGCTGAAATAGGTGTATAATAGGTGTATACATAGGTAGAAACAAGTAAGAACCAGGTAGCAGCCAGGTTTAACACACTATAACCTTTGAGAGGCAAGGTAGTAGGACCGACTAAAAAGGCCCACTTGTCCAGAAAAGGCAAGGAATCTCTTTGGTGGAACATGTTACAACATGTGGCAAGCCCTCCCACCCACCCACCCACCCACCCACCCACCCACCCACCCACTCACCCACACACGCACACACACGAATTTGGGTCCTTCTGACTCCTGAACGGAGATAGCTACAAGTAGGGTTTAGGTCCCATGACGAACGTCACATGTCCGTCGTGGGTGTGTGTCTGTTTTTTGTTGGCGAAACCTTGTTTGGCTTGCTTTCAAATGGAAGCAAAAGGGAAACCAACCACTCACTCCAGGGATCCGATCAGCTTGATGTTGTCACTGGGTTCGGGTTGCACCCCTTTTGCCCCATGGCGAGCGGCAAAGTGTTTCTCCAAAGGCACATGAGTCACAATCAATACCTGGTATGAACCTGATCCTGGCAATTCCCTGTGAAAAAACAAATTGGCCACACCCACTTATGGTCCTTATGGGTCTGTTTTCTATTACCCTCCAATTGTCCGGCTTTGAGTATGTATGGCTCACATGGTCCAACTGAAGAGTTTGGGAGGAACTGCTGTGGCTCTTTGCTGCTTGCTCTACGCTGGATGCCTGTTCATCATTTTACATAGAACATACAATGACAAAACTGTGGATGCCTCAACGAGGCTAATGCTTGCTGCTTCTATGGTGAGGTACACAGCGGGTACATTGGTCGCATTGCCTTCGAATGGCAAGTGACATTAACCAGCAACAATTGGGTGAATGGTGTCCCGTGTCCCTTGCAGAACCCGCAAGGAACCCTCAAAACGGCCACCAAACACGTGCTTTTGTCCCACTGTGATTTATGACAATGATTGTAAAGACACCCTTGACAAGGCTTGCCCATGTGTTCAGTTTTTGTTGAGACCCCCCGAAGGTTTGTTCAGCTCCAAAACGAGATCATGGTGTTCTTCGAATGAATGCCCTTCGCCCAGAAGCGACTTGTGAGCTTCAGAGATCCATCCCGATGGCATGGCCTTAGTCTCCAAGTCAGCTGCTAGCTCACCACGAGTAAACCTCACAACAATGAATGCCAATGCGTACTTGGATGTTCGGCCAAGTTAGGAAGTGGTCAGCTACTTGGGGTATAACCCCCTTATGACAATTTTTTGGGGGGCTTAGAAGCAGGTTATGACCTAGGCTACCACAAACTTTCTAACTTGGCCGAGCACCCAAGTAGCGATACGGGTTCCATGTTTTATTGCAACGTAAACACAAACACCCACAGATGCCCAGCTCCCCCAACGGAGATTCCCTGACTTTCAGTCCGCGTTGGTGGGCTGTTTCCGGAACCCGTGCACAAAGTCGAACACTTTTAGCGGTTTGGTGGAAACTACCACTACCCGTAGTTTCCACTAAACCAACTAAAAAGCTAAAACCTAAGAAACCGGATGGCTGGTTGAACCAACAAGATAGAACAGTGCCGATGCAGCGGCGGCAGGCTTCCAAAGAACGCCCTTCGTCACAATGGGCCAGGCAAACCAGGCCAGCCACACCAGCGCGTAGATCATCTGCGAGGCAGCAAATGCCAGTGGCACATCATCCAGCGCTAGGGTGAAAAGGAGCATGCCAACCTTGGGCTGGTGGGCTTAGGCATTTCAAGCAGTCATCCATAGACACCTTGTTCTTTTTCTTCTTCGTTTTGGGGGGGGGGGAAGCGGGCAAATCCTAAAGATCAAGTATAAACAGTCGAGGATCCTGGCACCCGCAACATCTTCCTGCAAGCCAAGCTTTGAATGGTTTACGATTCCTGGACAACTAACCCTTGAGGGTCCCTTGTCACCCTATTTTTCAGGCTTTGGGGTTAGTTCATTCGGATTTTTTTGTCAATCACAGATTCCTCAAACGAGGTACCAAAAACAACCCTTTGGGAACTCGAGCCCTATGTTTCTCTGCCTTGGTGCTGGGAGCCCGAAGGTTCCACCAGTAGTCCTTCGGTTAGTGCCTGGAAAAAGGCAAGGTGATTCGGACACGGGGCACTCTTTTTTTGGGAGATGCTTCTCTCCTCGAACGTGAAACACTTTGGGGTACACCCAAAAGTAGGATTGTCTGATGCTATCCCATATTTAGCCAACCTTGCAATACACAAATCCGGAGACGTGGGAACCGACACTGTTGAAGCTTCTCCTCAAGTCGGTGTCTTTGGGGTGCTTTGAGCGCATTGGGTGTCCCAACAACATGCCAAACAGTGAGAACTTTCCCAACATGGCCTTTCCTCACTTCCTGAGTGGGCCGGCCAAAAAAACATCTGAACTTGTTATTTGCCACACAAATCGTCTTTCCAACAAATAAAAAAACAAACTCCATGAACTCAGGGAGCGACCTTGCCACTCTCTAACACAAAAGGAGCCAACCCGCGCCACCCGGCGCCGGCGTCGAGGCGTCGAGGCGTCGAGGCGTCGAGGCGTCGAGGCGTCGAGGCGTCGAGGCGCGGTGCGCGCCACGATGGCCAAGGCCTCCCCGGCGGCGCGGCGCTGGAAGTCCTGGGCGCTCAAAGTGAGCAGCACGAAGGGCTCCGCCAAGGCCTCCGAATCCGGGCCGAATCCGGGGCCCGAAGCCGCGCGCGACTCCGGATCCGGCGCGAAGGCGAAGTGAAGGCGCGAAGGCGAAGGCGAATGCGGCGAAGCAGGGGCAAATTCGGCTGGCTTGTTTTGGTAGACCAAATCCATGTAAAGAGCCCAAATCTTTTCATAGTCACCTTTGTATGGGCATTCGGATTGGTATGGATTGATCCAAGGCCTCATGCAACGAGGGGCGCAGAGTGTTGGCTTGGAATTGGACCCGTTGGATGGATTTGGACCCTTCGATGGTTTCTGGTTGGACCTTTTGGAAGTTTGGTTCGTTGATGCTGGTGGACCTTGCGAAGGGTTTATTGCTGACGGGCTTGAACCGTTCGGATGGTTCTGGGTCGGATTTGGACCCTCAGAAAAATACATTTGGACCTGTTGGATGATGCATTTGGACCCTTTGGATGCTCATTGATGGATTATCTTGGAGTGGATTCATGTTCGGCGCCCAAGCTGAATCACATTTCAGTCCACCAACTTGGGAGTCAGAGTGTATCGCAAGACTTGCGATCCCTACTCAACCAGGTAGAAGGGTCACCAGCTGGGTTTTGGGATGGGCGAAATGAGCTGATTCACAGAATCCTGAGCAGCTGGCTTGGACTTCGAGATGGCCAACATATACCTGGACCCTCAAACTTCCTATGAACATGTGTTATTACCCGTAGCTAATGAGGTGATGTCCCTTCTGGCAACCTTAAAACATCACATGAAATCATGACAAAAGTGCTTGGGTGCAAAAACCCAGGGCCCAGGATGTACCCTTCTCTAAAAAAGACAAAACCTCCTCCTCCTCAACGTTGCTGTCTGTTCTCGGTTGGACCCCGCAAAATGTGTATAGCTTCCTCCTCCCTTTGAAACCGACCCACAAGGGGTCCAAACCGCAGCTGCCAACTTTTTCCCCCTCTTTCGATGCCTCACAGCAGGACGCCAGCACCATCAGGAAGATTGCCACCTCGTGAGCGCTCACGCAGCTGAACGGGTGGGCAACAAATGGGTTGTTGGCCTGGTGAGGGGAGGGGCACTTCGGCTCAACCTGCCCACAAAAGTGGAAAAGAACCTAGAATGCAACATCCCAAGTGCGCCTTTTGGGGCACGTGACCCTTGAAAGCTGAACTTTTTGTGGGACACCCAAATGAGTTCAATCAAAAATTTAAAGTCTAAGGGTCCAACCCAATAGCAATCAAGAAACGCTTGCAAGTTACATTCTCATGATTGTGAAGAGCTATCTAGAATCACACATGCGTTGCTTTCATGGTCACGTATGGGAAAAAAAACCGCAGGGCGGCGTTCACACTGGGATTCTAGGCCATCTCTCAGAAAGACGCCCTCCAGCCGTGAAAAAAAAGAGCAACACAAATCTAACTGCAGGAGGGGATTGGCAAAAACTCAAACCAACCCCAAGAAGAGCCGTCATAAAACCCACCAAGAAGAGAACCTACACAACACCGTGCCTTGCATGGTGCAAACAACTTGGCTTCACTGAAGAGAACTCACAAGTGAAACACTCTCTCGGAATTTTGGACAATGTTTGCAAAGGCTTCTGCTCGGATCTTTGTATATCACACGGAGAAAAAACCGCGCCCCTCGAGCTGTGAAGTCCAAATTTTGTCCAAGCCAATTTGTCCGCCCGAGCCGGAGCCAGGCAGCCAGGCCTGGTAGGTCCAAGATGCCTTACATGGTGACTCGATCTCTATCTGAGGTTGAACATGGTGATCTCACCGGTTCAAAAGGTACTAAACATATGTGGTTGTGGGTCAAAAATAGGTACCCCAAACGGCTTGCCCTGGCAAATGGCAATATGGACTAAAACCTGCTGTCCAATTCCTGGTGGTTGAATTTTGACTCAAAAATTGGGCTCTGACATCGTTCACAGGGTGTTGACTCTACACAACTTGGGTTGAATGGTGAAAGTTGCCGACTGAAACGGTGAAACTTGGTGCCCTTCTCAGGTACCCAAAAAAAGAGTTCCTTGGAATGGACATCGACAGAAGTTGTCTCCACATTGAAAAAGAAGTCCGACGTTTCGCGGCCCTGGAAGATTCTGTTCCTGTCAAAGGGACCGGTTCCATGGTAGTGGACAGAGGGGGTACCAATCATGGCGCTGTAAAACGAAATGGAAACAACAGCAACCAACTGCATTTGGGCCGTCGCAGGAGCTACGACCAGGCCTTGACTGATTTCAAGGCCCGAGGCATGGGCCTACAGCTGTTTGCAGCTCGCTGCATGTGCGCCTGTATCAAAATCGGGGAACCATCGAAACAGGTGGTTTCCTTTAGTTTCTCTCTAAACCAACCATCAAATAAAGCCATATTCATGTTGCCCTGATTTGTTGTTGGAAAAACTGACACCGAAGAGAGCGCCAAACTGAAGGGATGCTTCGCAAAATGGAAAAGCCCAACAAGTTGTTGGACTCGGGGAAAAATAGAACTGGACCATCTCTGCCAGGTCTCGGTCAAGGGCGCAGTGTGCAGCCAGTATGCAGCCAGCGGCCCCACCACCAGCCAGCAGCAGCCAGTGCCCATCCACCCGAGGTTCACCTCAAATAATCAATACCTATCACCCCACCACCGCATTAAATGCTCACTTCCTGAGTGGACTGGCCAAACAATGCCAACTTGGTATTTACCACTGAAATGGTCTTACCACTACATATGGGCCATTGCCAGGCGGTGTTACTTTGCTTATGGGTAGATTGAGGATCCAGGAACACTCATCACCCCGCCACCCCACCGCTAAGCTTACCCTCATGTCTAAGGGGCGCGTGCGACCTTGGCCACAAAAGAACACCTCTTTGCTGTTTGGGGCCCCACGGACAAAACAACTAACCAATCTTGGTTGACAGCTGGACTCCTGATGAGCTGCCCATCTACTAGGTCCTCCAGGAGAGGTTGGAAGAAGGGCACCAACTTTTGTCTGGTTTGTCTATTTTAGGGGAACCCTCCCCACCAAAAAAGAAAGGGTGAGAGGTCGGGCACCAATTGCTGAGGATTTTCCGTCTAGAAAGCCCCCCCCCAAGCCGCGCGCGCGCGAGAAAGCCTCCGAGTCGCGGAGGACTGGGCCTGGTCCGGCTCTTGCCGTAACGCCACCTTACGAAAGCCCTCCTTGGTGAAGAAGAGCATCAGGTTGCCTCAAGTGGCGAGGATTTCTTGGAGTCTCCTTCAGGGATTCTATGTACCTGTATCGATCTATTATAGTGGTGCGTTCAGACGCTTGGAGCCTTTTGCCTTCAGAGATTCTATTTACGTGTATAGGATACCAAAGGCTTGCACTTTTAAAAACAAAGGGAACATTGTTAGCTACCTACTATGGTGGTAACTTGGATTAGATTAACTGCATTCACTGTATAACTTCCTGTTTGGGCCATCTTTCCAAGAGCATTGCTGCAATGCTTGTCCCTATCAAGAGCACACCACATGTGAAAGGTGTCGGGCAACCTGAGTGTGGCAACAGGCGGGCCGGAAACTTGACAACTTGAGCGCAGCCTGCAGAGCTGCAAATCCACGGAACAACGGACACGACCTTGGTATCACCCCACAACTCCAATTTCTAGCTGGTTGGAAACACATAATCCTGCAAAAAATGCAACCAATCAAAAAATGTGATACAACAACGCAAGCAACCAAATAGGCAATCAAGCAAGTAAGCAGCCAGCCAAACAAACCAAACGATCAAGCAATAAAACAAACGAGTGAGCGAACGATCACAAACGAACAAAACCAAACAGATCAACACAAAGCACAACAACACTGAACAAACACAGGTTGTACACCCAGACCCTAAAACCCATGGAACATACAAGCACACAACATTTCCGAAGTAGACCTTCAGTGACATGCCGGCCATTTTCCGAACCACATGGGTTGCTTTGGTTTTTGTCAGCCGTGTGTCTGAGCAGCTGCAAGGATACATAGCCGAGGCCATAAGCCGCCGGTGACGCCAGGCGCGCCACCAGGACGTTCAAACCAAAGGTCACCGCGCGGGAGAGGACCTGCGCGAGTGATTCGCCGCAAGCAAATGCTGGGTCCCTGGGCCGTCGAACTGGGGAGTGCGAGTTATCAAAAGTGGCAACCAAGCCACAGGTGCAGATTGAGGGGAACAGTGTTTTGACCCTTCGGTTGGTGAAAGGTGTGAGAAGATTGAAGTCAGGGTGCAAGTATCGACTTTCTTGGGTTCCATCAGCTCGAATGCAACCAATGGGTGTTTTTACTACCTAGCGCACCAGTGTTTTTTGGTGGTGCTGCTGCTGCTGCTTGGTGGTGCTGTTTGGGAAGCTGTTTGAGGCGCTGGTGACGCTGCGAGCGCATTCTTGCGAGATTGATGGCTGAGTGCGCTGTTTGGGGTGCTGTTTGGGGCTCTCTCTTCGGTGCTGGAGGCGCGGGTACCGGCGCGGGAGGGCGTTCTTTTGGCCAGAGTCACGGCCGTCGGGGGCTGTGACTCAAAGACCCCAGCTCGTGAACTGACGAAACTGGGCTGCCCTCAGATCCCCCGCTAACAGTTTAACCTGTGGGTGAAATGGAAGCTACCGCTAAACGCTAAAAGGCTAAAGGGCTAAGGGACCGGATGGCTGGGAGCCACCAAGTACACTCGGATCCGAGCCAACGGTGGTGTTGAACCCAACAGAACCCGCTTGCACGAGGGCCAAACATGATGGCTATTGCAACCCAACAGCTATGGTTGGTTTGACTTCCTGGTTTTTTTATGGGTGGTTTGAGGGTCCAGGTCTTAATGGAGCCAGGCCAGGATTCCCCCGTATACTTGTCAATGCCTCCTTCTTGCCCTGCTTCCTTTGCTTTTTCAGTGAGAGGGTGCCTTGCCCAGCCAAAAAAAACACCTCACAAGTGCTCTGGGGACCCTGGAATGCCCTTTGATCGATCGCTGCCTTGAGGCGTTTGGTTCCATCAGTCTGTGCTTCTTGGGCGGCAAGGGACATGTCTTGGAACTTTTGGATCAAAGGCATTGTCGACAAATCTACGGCTGCTCCCAAAGGCTCCAAATGGAGAGCCGCTGCGTTTGTTCCATTCGGCTGCAAAAGGAGAAAGCAAACCACGGAAGCAAAGACTTTGGGATCTCTTTCCCACAAGGAGTATGGACGGAGTAGCTAACCCCTTGAAGAGTTGCATATATATATATATGTATATATGTGTCCAAATCCTCTGATCACCTTTCATGATTGAACTGCTACGGGAACCCGGAATCAACACTGGTGCGGCAGACTTACACGCCCTGCCAAACCATATGAATGTGCCCTTTGGGGGACACCGAAATGGTGGGCTGCCTTCTGGTTTACTTTCAAAACCACCCCAAGAAGGGTGCCCAAAGAAGACATCCTCATATTTAAGTTGCTCGTGGGGAAACAAGCTCAAAATGAAGGAACCCCAAATGGACCAAAGGGCAAAAGCATGCAAACGGGTCAGTGAAGTACGGCCAAAAGGTTGGCGCGGCCAAATGAGATGCTTCCCTCTCCCCTCCTGCGTGGAGACCACTGCTCCGATACCCTTCAGAAGGTCCGCCATGGATCTCGTCGGCCGAGGGAACCCCTAAGAGTCTTGCGGAGGTCTTCTGCTCAGAGTGGACTTGTCGTAGGTGGTTTTTTGGAGAACCTGATAATCAAGCCTTGAAACCTCGACCCTTGGACCAAAGTCGTCCGTGGAACATTGAAAACCAGTGCGTCGGGGGCCCAACCCCCCACCAAACACGGGAGAGTTTGATGAAGGCCAACCCTGTACCCAAATCAGGCAAGTTTCTCAGAGGACAACCATCAAACAACTGCAGTGTGCAGGAAACATCTCAAGCAACTTGTAGCGCAGGACTATACAGGTGTGTCTTTTTGAGGGTGCCGTGGTTGTGTGGTTTAGGACACCCAAAGGAAGGCCGTTTCGCCATTGTTGGGGTCCCCCCCAAAAAAAGCATACTTATATCTGAAGGGTGCTCAGCTGGACTGTGGTTGGCGCCACTTGTCAAGCTATGGAGCCGGAGTCCGACGGTCAAAGTCCGGCAGCGCTTCGCAATGGATCCCAGTGCTTCCATAGCTAACCGGGAATGATGTAAACCCTGCAGGTTTGCATACCTGGTTACCTACTCTTCCATTTGCTTCAGGTTGCTGGAAAAAGATAAACATATTTCCAGCAGTGATAGATTCCATTTAAAACCAACAGGGGAGAAGAATCAATATTATTCAGCAAATGGAAGTTCTATAGTGGCTTGCCGGAAAGCACTGGGAATACTGGAATAAGCCAGCTACCAGCTGGTTTGTACGAAAGCTTTCGGCACTCCAAAATGAGGGAACAAAAGGCGTGCCTTGTGCCACATGTAAAGGGTGTCCGGCACAGCGAGTCGAAGAACTTTGGCCTCCTAAAGGGTATCATTGCTCGTTCAGCCAGAAGCGGGCAAGCTGGATTTGTTGTTCAACGGCTCAGAGCATTTAAACATTTGAGTGCTGCAATTCCATGAGCTGGAATGGGTGTTCCCTGCCATTTTGGGTGCTGGGCCTGTAGACGCTCCACCTGAAACCGACCTACACTCCTCACATTGGCCACGCCAGAAATCGGCGCCGGGTGCTTACGGCCAGGAATTCAATCAAACAACGCACAGGCGTGGCCCATTTCACCGACCACAAGAGTCGTCCTTCAGTCAGAGCATATGTGGAATTGAATCGCTCCGGCCGACTCCCTTCCTCAAAGTGCGGCTTCTTTTCGTCGCCTTTGGCAGTGCCGAACCTCAGCGAGGTTCGGCAAAGTGTCACATGAGCTGCCCAAACCCCAGCTGAGCCTTGGTTCCGCCAACATGGCTATGAAGGCGTATAACCTTTTCTAGCCCACACGAACCTGGACAGAAAAACCTTCTGAAGTGGCCTTTTGGCGTTGATATTTACAGAAGGCCGGCTGCACTTTTTGGATGATTCGCCAATGGTTTGAGCCATCCGCCCCAAGGAAACAACATGTGGGTGTGTCTTTTTTAGGGGGGCCGCCAACATCGGCTTTCCTCTTGGTCACCGACAAACGGTACCTGGACCCTCCAACTAGCCACAAAAAATGGGTTATTGCAACGGGTGACTTCCCTTTTTAACGGGTAGTTTGAAGGGTCCAGGTACCAACTCAGAGAGAGACGAGCCGCCCGTCTTCCGGTGTCACCTGTCCTCTTCCTCTGGGCAAAGTGAAGCAAGACCCCCGGGTTCAGTTGGCCGCCAAAGCAATGCTTGGGAGTGCTGTGGCCGACCTAAAAAATGGTCATCCAAATCCGAGAATCCCTCTCCAAGCAAAAGAGAAGCCAAGTCAGCACTCCAAGACTCCAAGAAGCAAACAACCAAAAAACCAAAAACCCCAGTGGCCAGTCCCCCGGCCTTCAGCAGGGATCCTTACATTCTACACCTGAACATGGCAACTTGTAAATGGTGGTTTCCCTTTACTTTGGTGTGGAAAAATTGCCATGTTTCAAATGGTGGCAACACGGAGAGTTCTTTTCAAGGAGCCCTGTTCAGCTTGGGTCCCCATGGCCCGAGCCTCTCGGCTTTCCTTTCCCCACCAACCAAACCCGACACCTCGCACCTTCGCTTCCGGGAAGCCGCGCTCCGAGGAAGCCGCCAGGTCCCCATCCGTGCGGAAGGAGACCTCCGGGACTCGGCGCGAGCCGCAAGGGGAGGGAGAAAAAAACCCAGGCCTTGGCGAGGTCCAGGCGAGAGGAATTGGAGTAAGGGTGCCCGAAATTTACTTTTTGGCTGGTCTGTCTATTTTAGTTTTTTTTTCCTCCTGTCTGTCTATTTTTAGGGGAATACTCCTGCCAAGAAGGGTAAAAGGGCACTCCTGGGGGACTCCCTAGTTGGAGTCCAGTTGTTCTAGGCGTACCTTCCATTTCCATTCTGAACCCAGGGATCCGAATCTTTCCAGAAAACCTCCGGGAACCCAGGGAAAACGGATCCGGTTTTCGGAAAGAACGGAATCAACCCCTAGACGTGTGGCGCCTCTTGAAAAACAACAACGCAAAAGCACAAAGAGGGTAGCAACTCGAAAGGCCTTCTCAACTTTGGGCTCTTTTGAAAAACAAAAACATCCAAGAAGGCAGCAACTATTAGCAACTCAAAAGAAGACACACCACCGCTGTGAAAGTAAAGGTGCTTTCTTTTGAGTTGCTACCGACTTGTGTTCTGGGGAAACCAAAGGAAAACCACCCGTGGGGCCTGCTATAGTCGTAGGGATCCATTCCCTGACAGATTAACATCTTTTCTGCTTCATATTCAGTGTATCCTAAACTCACAACCTGAGTGGAGTGGCCAGAAAACGTTTTATTTGTTTGCTTCACCACTGAAATGATCTTCCCAGAAAGTATAAAGTTGAGAAACTCGGGGAGTGAGTGGAATAATTATAACATTTTTATGGAGGAGACCCCATATTGACCCGTTGAAGCAATCAACGTTCAGTCAGGGCAACACGTAGCTCAACCGTGTAAGGCGTGGCCGATCAGAAGCTGGAATGGCGACCGAGGATCGCCGGTGCACCGGGAATCCAGGAAGTCCTCTGGGCTGCAAAGAGAATACTGTCGCATCTGTTCAGGGTTCAGCATGTGGAAACTACCAAATTCGGGGGATCCAGCTACCTCTATGGCACGTAACTATGTTCCTCTAGGTTTTACATGATCTTTTTCCATGGTTGGCTATTCGACACCTTCCCCCCGCACATAGAGAGTGACGAGATGGGGCCCATCGAGACATGCACCGTTCACAACTTCTAAATTGGCGGATCGAATTTCTGAGCTCAGGCAAGACAGGGCTCTCGCGGTCTCCTGCATTGTGGTCTAGTTGGGTGTGTCCTAAAGTCTCGAGCCCGCTTCGACACAAGTGGCCAGGGGTGTTCACTGTATTTGAGCTCCTCCATATGCTTTCCCGAAACGGCACCTTGTCATCCTTGTCAGAAGCGCCCATGTTGTACAGAGTCACCTGCGACAAATGCCATTTCTATAGCTTTCAACCCTGGTCAGTGACCCTTAGGGGAACCCAAAACGGGGCGAATCGTGTTTTGTCGAAAACCTGCCAAAACGACAGTGAGGATTCCTGCGAAGGGGCTTGGGGAGGTGAAACTTGGGTCATTGTTCAGGGCTTCCAAGCACACGGTGAATGCAGGTGCAAGGATCCGGAGCCCCGTTTTCGGCCGCAAGCCAGAAGGAAGGACACACTCCAACTTGACCTCCGGGGTCAAAGAAACGCGCACTTCTTGGTGCGCCAAACGACTTTGCTTTTGAAACTGAACACGACTGAACAGCTCAAAGGCGACAGTCTCCTCTTTCATGTTGTGCTGCTACGATTTTTGTGTCTGACAGTGAGTCCAGTTCGCTTGCAAAAGGGAAAACCGTCTTCGGATCATCTGGGAAAAGGCTTGCTTGAGGGTCGGCCTTGCTCCAAAACCCAAACCTTTCCCCCCCCCCTCCACCTCAGCTTTTGCCGCCCAACAAAACATGACGCTTCGGAAGCTCAACGTGTAAACTTATGAGTTGAAAGAGATCCCATTTTTCCCAACCGGAAAGCAGAATACACCATTCCGCTTCTTTGGCTAAAGCCGCTTGCTAGACCGAAATGCATCTACTTTCACTGGGGTATGTGTCAAAATAGGGGAACCCCACCAAAAAACGTGTGTTTGTCCTTTTGCTTTTCCTCCAAACTACAATATATGGACAGCCGGTCTGGCCGGCGATTAAGCGGGGGGATATGTTTTTAATTACTTTTGCTTTCTTTTGCTTTTTGCTTCTGAAAAGGACTGTTGGCCAGGCCAGCTGCCTGGCCGCTTTGCACGTAGGCACCAAACGTCTTGGAGAGGTGGTCGAAGTACCTCCAAGACGAAGGGCGGGGCGCGCGCTCACCCCGGTTCGATCCCAAGCGAGAGGGAAACAGCCGAGGAAATCGAAACCAGTCAAGGGTACCTACTAAGCAGCCCACAACTGCAAAACATACAGGAACCGCGCAAGAACTACAAGTAAGGTTGTCCAAACCCAAAACCCGAGGTTTTAACCACGTTAGGACATGGCTCCATATCCGCTCACACGAAATTGGAGTCGTCGCCCCTCTCGGCCCTTGTCATGTGGGCCCCTAACATGGACCCAAACCCGTTCTATCCCTCGGCTTTTGTCGTCATGAACATAGGGAATGAACCATTGGGGAACTCAAATTTGATGAAATGCCCGTTTTTCCCCAAACTGACATACCACCTGGGTGAACCCATGCCAATTTCGGTGCCTTCTTGTTTCTAGCGACAGTCAAGAGGCACGGGCAAAGTTCGTGAGCCTTGGGAGTGGCATCCAGCGATTGGGGCCATGTTCAAGACCAAAGAGGAACCGAGGCCGGGCCCCCAAAAGCGAGCCACCAAGGGCTCGGTACCCCAAACGGGTGTCGTTTTGTTGAGGGCATCCGTTTTAACGGGCAACTAAAAGGAGTACCAAGCTGGATCCTCAAACTACCCCATAAAAATGAGCGATCGCCCCACATGGGGTGGTCGTCCCTGATTTTCTGGGTCTAAAAGCCATAAGAAAGTGGAGGTGACCCGTGACTTTACAGGGCTGTGGGGAATGACCACTTCTGTGATACAACAGAAAGGGCTTCCCAAAGACTATTTTGTTCATATAAAGGGGGATTCCCTTGTATCACAGAAGTGGGGAGAACCCCCTTGATCCCACAACCCTGTGACTTTGGGTTTCAACAAACCACTTTTTTCCGGGCGGGGGGTAGTTCGAGGCTCCAGGCAGCCACAGGTCCCCCCAGGACTTAAGCCGCCTCCTCACGGGCTCGAAGCTGTGGATCTTGGCGCTGGGGTAGCGCAAAGCCAGCGCCTAGCGGCTGAGGAGGTAGCAGTTTCCCATGTCCCGTTTATGGCCATCCTAAATGGCTCATATTGGTCATCAGTGGCACCAGATACCAATCTGGCTGCAATGCCTCCCCTTCCTATGGCTGTGAGGCCCCAAACAGCCCCCGGGTCGATTTCCACGGCTTTTGGAGACTTGGGATATTTGGGAGGTCAAAGAAGCCGAAACAACAATTGGGGCCCGGTTCTGGAAGGGAGAAAACTAGTTTGAGGCTTCTCTGAGGGGGAAGCCCACGTTTGATGCTTGGAGAAAGGATTTTTGGTTTTAGCCCTTCCTCCAATCCGGGTCCCAACAGTTCTGCTGCCTTGAGAAGCCCCCGCATCTAATGTAATGGGCGGAGAACCCGCCAAAGCCTTTCAGAGTTTTTGGGAGAGTTGCCCATCCTGAAGGTCTGAACATCAGCCCACCCCCCCTTGTTTTTGTTGCAGTGCTGAGATCAGAGCAGCAAGCCCGCCAACCGACTTGCACTCCCCGTGCTTCGATTTAGGCTCTGGCTTTGGTGCGGCTTCACGTGGAGCCAAAACATTTCCCTGGCCATTCTGGAGCTAACTTCAAGACAAACCTGTGTGGGCTGTTCAAATGTAGTGTTCGCCAATCCGAATCCATAATCCCTATTGTCCAACCTCTACAAGGGGACCCCAAGGATTAAGGATTTCCCTTGAACAGCCCACACGCCTGTGAAGGAACAAATCCTTTCTCACATAAATATGGAGGGCACCCTTTTTTCGCCTGGACCGGACCCACACCGATCCGATAGAACAGCTGGGGGGCTCCTTCGCTCTTCATGGAGCCTGCGTCGCTCCGGAAGGAAGACTGGTGCCCTTCTGCTTCCAGACGTAGCCACTATAGTAGACTTGCTGGTCAGGGTACCTGGCTGTAAACCTGGAGTGGCGAAAATGCCTGGAAGTACCGGGTTTAACAAGGACCTCTCTGGTGGCTTCCATGCATGGAGGGAAACTTATCTGACCAATGCGATCGGGTGGGGAGTTGGTTTGATGCAACCTCTTCCACATGCGCGTAACATCATCTTCCTGCTAAGACAGGGCTAGGCAAAAGATACATCCCAAAATCAGGTGACAAGCAGACCTTCATCAGCGGGCAAATATGACTCTCTCACAGCGAACATGGCAACCTCCCAACAATCATAGAAGCTGACAGAAAACTACTGTCCTTTTTGGGAGAACTCCACGGAGCCTTCCAT